AAACAACTGCAAAATCTTGTTTTTCTTTGAATTTTGGGAAGTATTGTGGTTAGTTAACATCTCCTTGCCAAGTACAATGATTTGAACTACCAATATATCATTCATGCTTTTTCTGATGACCAAATCCAATTCATTAAGCAAAACAGTGATCTGATCCTTCTCTTATATGCAACTTGGACATAATCAGGTGGTAAATGCTTTACTAACTCAGATGGACAAATTGAAGTCTTCACCAAATGTGATCATTCTGACTACATCCAACATAACAGCTGCTATTGGTAGATTTTAAATCTTAAATCCCTGAAAGTTCACCATATTGTGTCACTTTTATAGTACACAGTCGAGGCACCTTCATACTGAAATCTTTAATATATATATATAGTACACAGTCAAGATGCATTGTCTGTCTCCAGATTCAGATTTTATTATTTTCTTTTTGACTTTAGCACCATAAGAAGGACTTTGCATTATTAGTAGAAACGTATTTATATTTTCCAAATAATTKTAAAGAATTACAATTTCCAATGCTTGATATGAATTGTGATCAATTCATATGACATCAATTCTTGGACATTAGATATGAATTRTGATGACTAGTTACAAAGAGGCAATGCGTAATGATGTTGAAGTTATTCAGCTACATTGAAGAACTAAATCCCATGGTTAAGAACTTCCAAACTTACTATKGACGAGGTTGAAACACTTTGTTTTACCTATGAAATCACTACCAACCGGCATCTAGAATTTTAGATTGTCAATTGCTTTTTTGACGGTATGTATCTTGTCATTGTGTGTTATTAATATTATAACTACAGTCATGTGCTAATTTTTTTAATTTCTCTAAAAAAGCTTTTGTACATGATATTTAGAAAGAAGGAGGCCAACTATAAGTGTTTGGAATAAGGACTATCTTTGTCGTCGAGAATATTTAGAGCTAAATGATGGAGGATTTGGAACATGGCCATTCATTCGGCATGAGGGCATGCATGAAGACAGATCGTGGCCAGACGTATTTGCTGAAAGAAGTGTGAATCCAAAGGTTTCATCGAAATCAAAGCTGCAGGTATCTGTTTGTTTCAATATGTATGTTATAACTTTCTGGTATACAATGCTTACACATATGCACTACATTAAGAAAATTAGGGGATTCACTGAGATCACCTTACGTTAAGAGATGCCTAGAGATCGATACGATAGAGATAACAATATAGAAGAAAATATGTTCTTGGATAAATGTTGTCGTAGAGCAAATCTGGTATGTACATACACGTTTTATCTGTTTTTTCATCAGAAAAGCATCCTACCTTTAGAGCTTTCTCCCGAAGGATGTCCAACGTCTTTGGTAAGGTACTTTTCGACATTCAAGCCCTTCTCTCATCAAATAAATAAATTATATGCATGTATTCTTCTAATCTAATCTTTTGGTCTCAGGGCATAATGGAATAGAAACATTGGATGCTTGGAAACTGAATCCTGCTTCGGAATGATGTGATGTGGTATGGATATTTGTCAAAACTGTTTATGTGCATTCATACAAGGCTCTCATCCA